TCTGAATTTCAGGGCAATTTGTTACACAGAAATAGATAACTAATCCACATTGCTAAACTCAAGAGAGAGTGTGGGAGAGGACTTTGATAATAGTAACAATAGTTTGATCATAGTAATTGTATGAACTACCCACATGTTTGGAAACAACTTACCATAACTTCACTTTTTCCAGTCTTCTGGTATCTGAGAAGAAATTATTTTCACTACTTCAACATTTATACTCTAGTTATATACTAGGGACAATATGATGAATAGGACAGAGGCCATGTTCATGACTTCAAGGAGATCTTGTGTGTGATAGGTTTTAGTGTGCGTGTGTATGGAAAGACCTTACTGATTCTTTTCCTTCCTTCCTTCCTTTTCTTCCTTTTTTGCTGGTCATGGGGTTTGAATTCTGCGCCTGAGCACTGTCCCACAGCTATTCAACTCAAGACTAGCGCTCTACCACTTGAGCCACAGCACCACTTCTAGTTTTCTGGTGGTTTATTGGAGATAACAGTCTCACAGACTTTCCTGCCTGGGATGGCTTTGAATTGCAATCCTCAGATCTCAACCTCTTGAGTAACTAGGTATGAGCCACTGGCATCCAGCCTTATTTTTTTAAAAAAAATTTATTGTTATTATACAGGTGATATACAGAGCAGTTACAGTTACATAAGTCAGGTAATATCACATTTTTTCCTTCTTGTTTCCTTAAAGTTGAGATAGCTGGTATGGAGGGATAGTGTATATAAACCATAGTTTGGGTTCATCCGAAAAAGCTTCTTTGGGGATGTGCTCTGCAGCTGAAGAGGTAGGCTAGGTAGATAGACAAGGAAGGGAATTTTTTTGTGTGGGTCTTGGAGCCTGAACTCAAGGCCTGGGCATGTCCCTGAGATTTTTGCTCAAGGAAAGTGCTCTGCTATTTGAGCCACATGTCCACTTCCAGCTTTTTGGTAGTTAATTAAAGAGTCTCACAGACTATCTTTCCTGGGCTGGCTTCAAACCTTTATCTTCAGATCTCAGCCTCCTGACTAGCTGGATTACAGTTGTAAGCCACTGGAGCCTAGCTGGGAGCAGAATTCTTAAAGGGGAGCTAGAGAGAGAGGCAGCCAGCAGCTATTGGACAAATTCATAACCAAATTATATCCTATTATGTAATTACGCAAAATTTCTTTAGTTATGTATACTAATGAAGTAAGGGAAAGACTAGGTCTAAGTAAGTCACCTTGCTTTCATAGCTATCCTGGTGCCTAACCAGGTGATGGCTCATCACCTGGCTTAAAGGCCTAGAAGTGAGACAAGCTATTCTTGAATTGCGGATATACCATGTTGATTAGACCTAGAGAGGATATCTAAATGTATCCTGTTGTTTAGCCCCAGCAAAGTCCCATCCCAGATGATAGGAGTGCCTGAATTCTGAGAGGCAGGGATGGGGACTTGGATGATAGGGTACCGGCCCTGCCAGTCCTCTGCCTTAAACTGGGGGGACTCCAGTTTCCTGGGACCCTGCCCCCTGCCTTGACCCTATTTTAGGGTCAGACCAGGTCAGATCATCAAGGCAGGCAGGCCTTGTATGCTGCGTCCTGTCTCATGGCTTTGCTCTGGTCATCTCACTTCAGCTTTCCATTAGGGATGATCTGGGTTGTTGGCATTGTTTTTCTGCTTTTTCTTTCCTCTTCTGATCTCATGACTCAGTTTTCTATCGGTATTAAGTCTATTTGCCAGGTTGCAGGTCTTTGTGACAATAGTCCACTTGCAGACACCAACCTTTTAATAAAGACTCCCAATATGACTTCTCAAAATGTGGCTTCTTTGTATCTTGCTGACTGGATTCACCTTACAACACTAATAGATTTATGGATGAGACTATTGATGTCTGGAATTTGCTTTAAAATATTCCAGTGCGATGCTGGAAATTGGTGGCTCACACCTATAATCCTAGCTATCCAGGAAGCTGAGATCAAGGTTTGAGGCCAGTCTGGGCAGACTCTTATCTCCAATTAACCAGCAAAAGACTGGAAGTGGAGGTATGGTTCCAGTGGTATAGTGCCAGCCTTGAGCAAAAAAGCTAAGGGAGAGCATTAGGTCCTGAATTCCAGCCCCCAGACCCAGCACACACACACAAATAGTAATATTCCAGTGTATGTGGGGGGGGGGGAATGGGTGAAACTACTGACAAGCAAGATTTTCTTAATTATGTTTTTAAGTAGTTGTACAAAGGAGTTACCATTTAACAATGCATCTTATTCGATGTCTCCCCTTTTATCATTCCCCATCTCTCCTAACCCAATGCCTCCCCTCAATTTTCTTAATTTCATAGGATATTCATTCAATTTTATGACTGCATTCTCCCACACCTTCCTCTCTTTATTCATCTACCCCTTCCCCTTTGACCCCTGCTCCTCCTTTCAAGTTCCAGCTTTCTGGTATTCATTTTGCTGGACTATGAGTTTTTCTGATGAATTATACCATTTGAATTCTCCCTGTAAATACCATATTTCGGTTAATATATTTGTGTACACTTGCATACAACCCCATTGTGAAACAAGATTTTCTAAATGCATTAGTACATATTAAAACCACCAGGTGATAGGTTTAGGGTTTCATTCTACTATTTTCTCTACTTTGGTAAAAGTGGATTTTTTATAACAAAACCTTAACAATTGTATCCTGACAACCCATTCTGAGAGTTGTATGTATGTGCATCTTTAGGGCTAGGAGATGGGATGCAAAAATGTATGGACTTCTCAGCTTCCAACCATGTGGTTAACCTAAAACGGCTATCTGGGTAAATTACCTTGCCTCTTGGCTAACATGATGAATTGCATCCTTTTTCATGCTCATTTTTCACTCCTTGAGATGGTCAATTTCATCTTCAGTGAAATCTTATAACTTGGTTCACCCTAGAGTAAAAGCCAGGGGAAGAATACTATGGAAGCATTCCTGAAGGGATTCTGTTATTAAGGCCTTGTTTGATATACGAGGGAGTGTAAAATTGGAAAAAAATAGGGTAGAACTATTGGAAATCCAATTTGTTAAAAATAATTTTTTGTTGGATTGATTCAGTCATGAGGTAGCACATATTGTTTGGTTTTCTCTTCCTTTTGCTCGGGTTATTCTAAGATAGGTTAGAATATGAGTTGAGCAGCAGGAATGCGTGGAATTTATGAATCAGGGAGGTACTTCTTTTGGATTTAGTGGGAAGAGACACTGCCTCATATTTACAACTGTTTCAATGTGAGGTTAATGAGGAACCAGTTAGATCCTGCCATTTCTTGAAAATAATTTTTGCTGCCAAATTGAGTCTCTCTCCAGCCCCTAATAAATGAAGATTTTGCTACAGTCAGACATATGCAAATCACATTTCCCTTCTCAAGCCAAGGTTAAATAAAAGGGGAAATTATGAAAGATTGCTTAGAGCAGCATGGATTTTCAAGGCTTGAGGATGAATACTGTTCTTTCAAATTTAGGGTGAGTTGCCCATTAGGGCAAAACAGGGTAGGAATTAAATGAAGGAGGAAGGGGCCCTCGGCATAAACACGTTCCAGTACAGCATCTGTGTTGAAAGGCTTTGTTGTTCCCTGAACCTCGGTAATTACAGGCATTTTTCTATGCCCTGAAAAGTGTTTGGCAAATAAGAAGAGGCTGTCCCCTCCTTTTCTGTGTTCCAGGCTGGAATCTGGCACTGTTGCAGGGAAACACCAATTCCCAGCAAGGCTCCCTGGGAGCAAATGCTTTGTTTTCTCTTCACTGAATCCAGCCTAGGGTCCTTTCTCTGTAGCAGAGCCTAGCATGGAAAATCTATTTGGAGCAACTTGTCGCCAGGAGGGAAGAATACTAGCCAACTCTATGGGGAAGTGGCAGTCATCCAGGCCAGTCACACTGGCTAGCCAGGGTGGGCATGAACACTGAAAAGCGGACAGACCTGAGACCTATCTGTGTGCCCACATGTGTCACCACCATCCTTAGGTACCACACACATATTCACGATGCCAGTCACACCCACCCCAAGTACACACTGTGTAATAATCATACCCATGCAGATGCTAGTACACTCATTCCACACATGTACCCAACCACACACACACATCACATATACTCAACCATATGCACAGTACGCACACTCCATTACTCACATACACACACATCATATGTACACGTATACACTTCATTATCCACCCGTCTCCCCACGAATCATGGCAAGTGTCTAACACACCCAACAATACACCACACATACTCTACAACTCCACACCCCGCTGCTGTCGGTCCCCTGGGAGCCAGAGGCAGCCCGCTCTCCCCAAAGGTGCGCTCTCCCAGGGACTCGCGCCCGCGGTACCCCCCTTCTCCCCCCCGCCCCCCGCAACCCGGGGAGGCGTACGACCGAAAAAGTGAGTTGCGAGCGCGGACGGACAGGCGGTGTGTACGTGTGAGAAAACCCTGTGAAAGAAGCACGAAGCAGCCCACGGAAAGGCTCCAGGCTCGGGGACCGGGCACGCGGAGGACACAGCGCGCGCCCGCGCGAGCCAGTTCCCCAAGGCGTCTCCCTGGGAGGGAAGTGTGCGTGTGAGCTGCGCGCGTGTCCGCGCTGCGCGGCCCGGGCGTGCGGGTCCGAACAGTCTCCAGGGAGGTCTGGGCACCTCGGAGCGCGCGCGCCGCAGCAGCTCACCTTGGAGAGCGGCGGTGATGCTGCCGCCGCCAACCACGGCGCTCGCGGACTGGCTGGGAGGAGGCC